AATTCTTATTTCATAGTCTTCATCTAACTCTCCTGATAAAATCAAATTCCTCTTAAGTTTAGGAACAAATCTGACCTTGTCAAGAATGAGGGTTTTGTTGTTATCAATTTAAAGATTCGCTTCCTATTCCCTTTATCTGACAACTTATGTCATTTCCCATCTGGACTTGCCCCCAATTTTGTTCAACAAGTTCAGTAAACCAATCCCTTATAGGGCACATATGGAAGGTACAGCCAGAGTTAAGGACCTATTCTTTTGGGTTCCTATTAGTGGTGTTGACCAGAACGACCCCCTATATATCATGTTCATTTTTACATGCAATAGCAGCAGACCCATCAGAATTTTTCTTATCTTTCATATCAGAGATCTTTTTAAAATAATCTTTGATTAGATGTCATGTCTTTCCACAATAGTAGTTTTTTCTCGAGCTGAAATTTAGATTTGGATTGATTCTTGTTCCGATTTCTGAACTTAGGAAATTGGGGTTTATCTCTTTTGTAAGAGTTGTAGTTGCATTGATTTCCCCTTTTGTCCTGTTTAGTTTTCTCCCTCAAATTCAAAGCTTCATTAAAGTTAGAGTCTTTGAGGTTAGATTTTAATTCAAGTTCTCTATTCCTCAAAGATGATATGACAATGTCAATATTGAGATCAATTCTACCATATTCCAAAGCATTTCTAAGATCTCTATATTTGTGTCCCAAGGCATTCAACAGAGCCACAACTTGTTGATCTTCAGACAATTTCTCATCATAGTTAGTTAATTCTTGAACAAGTCTAGTGAATTTATCAATGTTATCTTCCAAAGTAGAGGAGGGATTGAATCTGAAATTATAGAACTGTCTAAGGAGATAGCATTTATTGGGCATACTTTTAGCAAGATAGAGAGATTCTAACTTAGTCCATTGGCCTTGAGTATTAGTGGTCTCTCCAACTTTCCTAATAACATTGTCAGATAAGTGAAGAAAAATGGAACTCCAAGCAATCTCATCTAACTCCTGCCTTCTATAAATACTGAATTTAGGAGGCCAAGTCCCATCTAAGGCAATAGCACACCTCTGTTGTAACAGCAGAGCCCTCATCTTTTGTCTCTATAAACTAAAATCCCCAGTTTCCTTCCAAACTTCTACTTCAACCTTATGTACAGTAGTTGTGATTAAAGATAAACACACAAGAACCAAGTAAAAAGCCACACAGTATCTAATAGGAATTGACAATATGAGAAAAGACTTCAAGAAAATATAGAATACATTTAGGATTAGCAATATATAAGTCAGAGACACTAATATCATACAAGAGGCGTCAATTTTGAAATTGTTTAAGGAATGGTAACCCTTTTATTCCCCTACTCCCTCTAATTCCCAGATCCTCAATGACATCTTGGACAAAGGAAAGCAGGAGAGGAT